CAGGTCGGTGTACATGTACCCGGGGAACCCGCGGCGCCCCGGCACCTCCTCCCGGGCGGCCGACACCTGCGGGATGGGGTGGCGTTAGGGGAGGGGGCGATCAAGCACCCCCAGCACCCATGGGCAACCTCAGCACCCCGGGTACCCCAAGCACCATGGGCTCCCTTAGCACCCCAAACATTCCCGGCACTGTGGGATCCCCAAGCATCCTGGGTACCCCAAGTACCCAAGGCATCCCAAATACCCTGGGCAACCCAACCACCCCCAGGACCCTGGGCACCCCAAGCAGCCCCAGAACCCTAAGTATTGTGGGCACCCCGAGCACCTTGACCGTCCCCAGCACCCCAGGCATTCCCAAGTACCCAAGCATCCTGAACACCCCGAGCACCCTCTAGCACCCTGGACACCCCAAGCACCCCTGGAACCCCAAGCATCCCAAGTACCCCAAGTATTCTGGGCAACCCCAGCACCCCGGGTACCCCCAGCACCCAAGCATCCTGGGCTCCACAAGAACCCCAGGCACCCTGAGCACCCCCCAGCACCCTGGTTACCCCAAGCACCCAAGGCATCCCAAGTATCCCAGGGACCCCAAGCACCTCCTAGCACTCCAGGACTCTGAGTACCCTGAGCACCCCGCAGCACCCTGAGCACTCCAGGTACCTCAAATACCCCAGGCATCCCAAGTATCCTGGGCACCGCAAGCACTCCCCAGCACCCCAGGCATTCCAAGTACCTCAAGTATATGGGACACCCTGAGCATCCTGGGCACTCCCTGCACACCCCACACATTCTGGGTACCCCAGGCACCCCAGACACCCTGAGCAACCCAGACATCCCAAGTACCCAAGCACCCAGGGAACCCCAAGCACCCTGACCACTCTACACAACCCAGACACACTGAGCACCCTGGGCATCCCAAGCACTCGCTGCGGGCAGCCCCCTGCCCCGCTGACCTCACGCAGGGCCTCGGCGTAGGAGCTCATGTCGGTGAGGATCACCAGCACATGCTTCTCGCACTGATATGCCAGGAACTCGGCCGTGGTGAGCGCCAGGCGCGGGGTGATGATCCGCTCGATCCTGGGGACGGGGATCCCTCGATCCAGTACAGCCCCCTCAGAGCATCCCCGGGGAGGAGGAGGAGAGGAGGAGAGGGAGAAAAGAGGAGAAGGGGAGAGAGGGGGAAATAAGGAGGAGGAGAAGGAAAAGGGGGAAAAGAAGGAGAAAAAAGAAGGGAAAAAGGGGGGAAAGTGGCGGGAAGGGGAAAAAGGGAAAAAGGGAAAACGGGAAAAAAGAAGAAAAAGAGAAAGGGAAAAAAGGAAAAAGGGAGAAAAGGGGCAGGAAGGGGAAAAAGGGAAAAAAGAAAAAGGGAAAAAGGGAAAAAGGGAAAAAGGGAAAAAGGGAAAAAGGGAAAAAGGGAAAAAGAAGGAGAAGGAGAAGGAAGAGGAAGAGGAAGAGGAGCAGGATAAGGAAAAAAGAGGAGGAGGAAGAGGAGGAAAAGGAGGAGAAAGAGAAAGAGGAAGAGGAGGAAAAGGAGGAGAAAGAGAAAGAGGAAGAGGAGGAAAAGGAGGAGAAAGAGAAAGAGGAAGAGGAGGAAAAGGAGGAGAAAGAGAAAGAGGAAGAGGGAAGAGGCAGACGTTCTCCATGGAGCCGTTCTCCTCGAAGTCCGACTTGAAGAAGCGAGCGGTCTCCATGTTCACCTGCCCGTGCAGGACGAGGATCCGCTCAGGGGGAAACTGAGGCAGGCGGGGACCGGGCCGGGCCGGGCCGTCCCCTCCCGTCCCCCACTCACTCCCATGGCAGCGAAGACGATGGCGAAGTTGTCCTCATGGTAGTCCACCACGTCCTTGGATTTCTTCACCAGCCCGGCCTGACGGCAGATCTGGGCTGCGATCTGCAGCGGGAGGGGGACAGGGGGGCAGCACCCGTTGCCGAGACACCCCCAGAGGGGTCACAAACTCCCCCGGACCCCGACACGGCCCCACATCACCCAGAGCGCCCCTCCAACCCCAACACAGCTCTTGGTGTAACTTCACCCCCTCGCTGTGCAGATGGGGAAACTGAGGCACGGGGAAACCTGCGTGGCTTGGAAGGGTCAGAGAACCAAAGAGCCACCCCAAAAGGTGGGTTTGGGGCCTCACAGGGACCCACCTCGTTGTGGGGGAGCCCGGCAGCGGA